TCCAACCTGATTGCAATGGCCTCCAACCTAATAGCAATGGCCTCCAAACTGATAGAGATGGCTTCCAACCTAATAGCAATTGCCTCGAACCTGATAGCGATGGCCTCCAACCTGATAGAGATGGCTTCCAACCTATTAGCAATGGCCTCCGAGATGGCCTCCATTCTGATAGCAATGGCCTCCAAGCTGATAGAGATGGCCTGCAACCTAATAGCAATGGCCTCCAACCTGATAGAGATGGCCTCGAACCTCATAGCAATGTTCTGCAACCTGATAGCGATGGCCTCCAACCTGATAGAGATGGCTTCCAACCTAATAGCAATTGCCTCGAACCTGATAGCGATGGCCTCCAACCTAGTAGCAATGGCCTCCGAGATGGCCTCCAATCCAATAGCAATGGCCTCCAACCTGATAGAGATGGCCTCCATTCTGATAGCAATGGCCTCCAACCTGATAGAGTTGGCCTGCAACCTAATAGCAATGGCCTCCAACCTGATAGAGATGGCCTCCAACCTCATAGCAATGTTCTCCAATGTGATAGAGATGGCCTCCAACCTGATTGCAATGGCTTCCAACCTGATCTGAGCCGCGATCTCAGGCCATTACTTCGAGTGGTTGCCTCAGCGGTTGGGCAAAGGGAGGAAGTTGTTGACTTGGGAAGCTACCCTGCGCATTTCAGGCCTGCTCGGAGTTGAAGTTTGAGTGCCCAACACCAGTGCAAAGGCGTCTGAAGCCGTGAAGCCAACAAGATCCACCTGGTTTTGGAGTGGTCGAAAGAGCCAACTCTCTGTGGTCCAAAGAGCAGTTTGCCAGGGATGTGATTCCTCCAGCATTGGCTGGATCTGACATCTTGGCCACTGCTGAAACAGGCGGGTGGACCAATTGTGGGACAGCTGTACAGTCTGTTCTTGTCGGCTGAGGTTCGGGCAAGACTGCATCTTTTCTGTTGCCAACCTTAGAGCGCTTGTGCCTGGAAGCCCACTTGGTGGATTTTGGAGGCATTGTGTTTGTAAATTTTGCAGGGTTCAGGGCCCGTGACCATTCAAAGGCCAAAGCAGCAGTGTACGTGCACGTCGGAGAGATGCAGCAGGGCGATTGATTTTAGGAGAAGAGATGCAGATGGCATTGAACAATTCTGCTTGATTTCGAAAAACATGCAATTCTGCTTGATGTTCACCTTTCCGCCAGAGCGGCTTGAGGGTCTTGGCGACGCCCTGCGTCCTGCCTTGCCGTCTGTGATCTCCAGGACCAGTGGGAACCAAGGCCGTCGTCCTGATTCCTACAAGAGAACTAGCAGTGTCGGGTGCCCAAGGATTTGTGCCAAATGGCGAAATGGCGAAGGTTTCGAGAGTGAGCCAAGGCAGTGCCACTCCATGCTTGAAGGCCTATCCAAGTGAGCCAAGTATCACAATTGGAGTGTTGTCGGGCTGCACGTCGACGCAATTGCACAGGAGTATGCAACAAGCGTGAGCTCTAGTGGATGCTTTTAATCGTGCTTATACTTATACCTCGTAGGTTGGAGGCCATCGCTACTAGGGTGGAGGCCATGGCTTACTAGGGTGGAGGCCGTCGCTAGTAGGTTGGAGGCCATTGCTATTAGTAACTCAAAAGAAGATTGGGGAGGTACACGATGGTGACTCACCAATTGGCAGCAGCCTCAAAGGGTTGAGAAGTGAAAAAAACGTCCCTTTTTGGCCTATCGCGGAGGTTGCCGGAGGTTACATTGCGCATGACCAGGCCATCCAAAAAGCGGCTTTTTGTGCCGGCAAAGTAGTAAGCAAAGTCTCAAGAGCAAAGTGGCATCATGTGCTGTGGCAAAGCAATCGACAAATCATTCAATTAGTGTCGCGCGCGTGTCGCAGAAATCTGGATCTGCCTGTTCTGTCTGTCGCTGCAGAGGCAGCCTCATTGAGACATCAGCCCGATTTGGTGATCGCGACACCTGGGCGGCTCCTGGACCACCTGATGAACTCACAATCGGTGCGCATTGATTCAAGAGAAGAGTCGAAGAGAGTCGAAGAGAGTCGAAGAGAGTCGAAGAGAGTCGAAGAGAGTCGAAGAGAGTCGAAGAGAGTCGAAGAGTCCTTCCTTTTTCCTTTTTGTTGCAGTCTGTCTTGACGGTCAGCGTTGCAAGGGGGTCAGGTGCACATGGAGTTGCTCGAGATTGTTGTCTTCGACGAAGCTGACAGGCAGGATATTTTGTCTTTGTTGTCCTGCAACAAAATTGTGGGGACCGACCTGCAACACCTTTGGAGTGCAACTTCCAGCTTTACATGTTGCATCTATCCAAATGTCTACATGGAAGCTAAAGCATCCTTAATCCACCCTAAGCAACGAGACATAAAGGTAACTACATGTAACTACGACTAACATCTTCTAACCAGTGCCAGTCCCCAAGATTAAGAAGCATCGCTACTGCTACTAGTAACAAGTGCATCGCTACTTGTCTTTTTCTTTTGGAGTCAAACGGAGGCTCCGGAGGCTGCTCGCCACACGCTCCTGTCGTGAGGCTTTTGGAGATGGGCTTTCGACAGGAGTGCTTGGAAGTCCTGAAGCGCTGTGCCAAGGGTCGACAGCTGGGAACCTCAGCGACGGGAGGGAACTGAGACGAAAAAGATGAAAAAGGCATTTTGATAGCAATGGCCCCCAACCCAATAGCAATGGCCTCCAACCTAATAGCAATGGCCTCCAAACTAATAGCAATGGCCTCCAACCTAATAGCAATGGCCTCCAAACTAATAGCAATGGCCTCCAAACTAATAGCAATGGCCCCCAACCCAATAGCAATGGCCTCCAAACTAATAGCAATGGCCTCCAAACTAATAGCAATGGCCTCCAAACTAATAGCAATGGCCTCCAAACTAATAGCAATGGCCTCCAAACTAATAGCAATGGCC